TTTTTTCATGAAAAAAGTGTGCCTTTGCACAAAAAAGGTTGAAAAACACTGCTCTAGGTAGATCCATTAGAATTTCAAGTACTTGTTAAGTGAGTAGTCATAAGTCAAGGACTATTTGTAGACATATATTTATCTTATATATGTTCATAATTTAAGGAATTGGTTTTTCCATCTTGGAAAACATCTGCTGCATAAATGTAGCAAAATAATACTGTCAAAGATAGTAATTGTAGAAAAAGAACAGTTAAATACCAAAGTTAAGGCCGTCTGTATATTTTGAAAATGAGGACAAAGGATATGAATTGAGAACATGAATCCACTAGGGAACTCAGCATTTGATTACAAAGCAGCATTTGTTTGTAAATATTCTGTGGTATGTTATGTTAAGTGCATTTGGTTTCTGTTTTGTTTTAGCAAGGACTTTAATTGTTATCTGTTAAGGGAAAGTGAAACTAGCAAGGGCAATTTTGTTTCTCAATTTAAAAAAAAAATGACATTCAGGGAAAGGAAGCTGTGTATCCGTTAAAAAATGAAATGGTTCAGGAATTCATAATTCAACAGATTGATGTACATGTTGTATAATGTGTCTTCACAATTGTTATTAAATAAAAGATTAGGTGATGCTAGTAATGTTCATATGCCTTTGAGTTGATTTGACTCTTTGCTACTTCCTGGACAAGTCCCTTCAAGATTTCAGAAGGGGCTTCTGCTTGCCTGCTTCCTAAGCCTGAGAGAGGGTGACTGGCTTAAGTCATCTGTCTTTGTGTCTAAAGCAGATCTAGAACCCATGGTTTCCTGATTTCTACCCTGAAGCCTTAATCATTATACCTAACTGGTTCTCTTAAAGAAGTGAACTAATAATTTGGGAGAATTCATGTGTGTTTAAAGGAAGGATTGCCTAACTTCTAAGCAATCTTTTCGTTCCAGTCTCTTTATGAGAGAGTAAGAACTCCTAAATCTTTGAGAAACCCTTTCAAGTCCCATCCTTAAAATTCAATTCTGAAGTCAAATACAACCTTAATGTTCTATTAATGACTATCCAGTTTTTATTGTGATGTCAAGTTTTAGCAAAAATCCAAAGAGGTTTGCCACCTAAAATTCCTGAAAGACTATTCAGAATATTACCTATATTTGAAATAAGTAGAAAATATAGAACCACCACAGAACTTTTGAAAATGTCTAATTCTGGTTGTTTTTCTGATTATTTTGAAAGGCTACATCTGTCCCCAATTTTTCCTATATCGGGGCACGACTATGCAATTATCTCTCTCATCACCTCACAATTAATCCACAAAATGACAACTTTAGAAAATTACTCCTTTCCAGGTCAGTACAAGTGTGTATGTGCATATGTGTGTGAATTTTAACAAAAAAAAACCCTCTGATTCAATATTTCCCAGGAACTTTTCAGAACAATTTTTATTCCAAAATTAATTCTCTATGCATTGTTACTAGCTTTAATTCGTAAGATACTTGTATGAGGTTGAAATGGAAGTTTGCAGATCTTGTTATATTGAAAGAAGCTGCCATTGACAGAAACAAGACTGTCAATCTTGATTCTGTGCGTATCCTACATTAGAGCTCTGCATACTTTAAAAACGATTCAAAGAACTTGCTAACGCAACCCCTTTCAACTATTAATTAAAGCAGTCCATTTTTTCCAGACTTCCAATCAAGCATGAAGAAAAATGTTTCTGCTTTAAGATGTTCATTATTAATAAAATACTTTAAAGCAGCAGAATCAGTTTCCAAGCTTATTTAAAAAGCTAGAAAAAAATCGAATGGTAATACAGTGTGCTAGATTTGCATTGCTCAGAACTGTTGTTTCAACTTTTAAAATCATTTCTTGTTTTGTTAAAAATGAACAACTTGCTTCTTTCAAAAATATTATTTGAAATATCAAAGTGAATCAAATATCTTAACTAAAAAAGAATCAAAACATCTGCAAATTTCAGAGGGAAAAATCTTTAGCTTTTGTGATATCTGACATTATTTATTTCAATTATTGTAAGCAATGAGGAGGTTTGCTTGCCACAGACCTGAATTTTGAGTGAAAGTGTGGAAGAACAAGCAAAACATAGGAGACTGAGACTTTGAATGTCAATGATGTTGTGCTGTTTACTTTTATATTCTCAAAGGTAAACAAACTTTATAAATGAATATTAATGAAAGTAAGATGATATTCAGACTGTTTATTTCTTTCAGAATAAACAGATACTCTGACTCATCTTGCAGATAAACTAGGTGAAGCTCCTTTGTTCACCCCTGAGGTCAAGAATGTTGCCTTTGAGGACATCATCAAATCAAGAAAATAAAGCCTGAGTTTGTCTATAAACATTGGTTTATTTTCAGTTTTGAGGCTGCTTAACTCCATAACAACTCTAGGCAGTTTACAGATAAAACATTAAAACAAGTATTTTAAGAAAAAGGAGACAGAATTTTTAAAAAGCCCAAACTAAAAGGGGTCAAACACCATCCTAAATCAACATTTGGGAGGATAAACAGGTTTCTGTTGTGGCGTTTGCAGGAGACAATTAGTTCACTTAATTGGTTCATGACTCCCCGAGATAGCAGCCTGCCAGCTCTCCACGCCAGATAAGGTCTGTGAATGTAGATCCTCCCTTGAAAGACTTTGCTGGATGTGAATGAGCAGAATTTGCAGTAAATTAATAAAAGGGTTTTTTGTTGGGACAAGGTGTTTGCTTCATGATCTTGGGAAGCCTCAGTCAGAACAGTTTCTAGCAGTTTGTTGAAAGTCATGAATGCCAGGTTTTATTTTGGATAAGTGAGAAAAACTACTACAATACTGTTTTCTGCAACCACCAGCTTCCTGTTCTTTCTTTGGAGAAGTTACTGATAGGTCTGGGGAAAACCTCTGATGAAAGATCAGCCACAGAGAGCAGAATAAGCTACCTGGGAGAGGGAGAAAAGGAAGCAATTCTTTACCTAGTATTGAAAACCCATGTCCAGATTTGTTCCTGAGTGAAAGCTATACCAGATATTCTGGGGTGAAATACTGTTGCCTCTAAATACATCAGATTGAAGTTTTACATGGAGCCATCATTGTTTATATATTTTAGTATTGTTCAGGGACTCCGTTGAAATACTTTTTCACAACTTTATCCTACATAGTGCCTTTTTTTTTTACTGTGTTATGTAGGAAGTGGAAGACTTTGAGAATAGAATCATCCCCTAAATGTGTTACTTCTCCTTGGAGTCCCTTTTTGGTCATGTTAAAGCAGACTATTGACACTCATGGTGTTGGATGATAGTTACGATGATTCTTAAACTTTGACCACATCATCAGGAATAAACGGAGTTCAGAAATGACAGCCCAAGCAACAATAAAGTATATAATCAAGCTGCATAATCTATTTTAATGTTTTGTTACTTTGCAACCAAAGATACTTTATTGTATAAATGTTAAATCTTTTTCCTGTCATCCTTTAACATCATATATGCCTCAGTTTTTAAATCACATTTTATGAATTTTACCAATAAGTACAAAAATGTATCTTTTAGGTGTCAAAAAGAATTTGAAAATAGAGATGGAGCTGCCAAAGGGGATGATGCTGTAAGGAAAAGATTTCATGCATTTGTGCTGTTTTTGGCTGAACTTTATCTAAATCTAGAGGTAAAAAAAAATATTTCTTTCAGATTGAATTGCTTCTTTCAATCTATAATTCTGGCCAGACATTTGTAAGGAAAATGGCTGAAGAATTCATCTGTAGAGCATTGTAACTCAATGCAAATCAGAAAACTCTGAACAAATTTAAATTTTTATTAGACTCTTTCATATTTAATTTTGTTCTTAATTGTCATATGCTTGCATCCTTATAAAAAAAACCCACTAGGTGTTCTTGCACTAATTTGCACATTATTATTTTAAATGAACAATTGAATAAAATGCTGAGAGCATATTTTCCATTATATTTACAAAAATAAATTTTATTTATGGAGATTTTTATTATTTCCTAACATAACCGTTCAGAAGAAGTGCTGGAGATGTTGTTATAAAAATGAAGTGGTAGTATGCTTGTACATATTGTCGTGATCATTTTATTGCTAGAGCGATACCTTTCAGTACAACAGTCATGAATCAAACTTTTCTATTTCACTAGACTCAATTGCAACATACTACTTACTGTAGGCATTTTATATCCTCTTAGGTATAAAATTGTGAGTTCTCTCATTCAATTAAATCCAACAGGTAGTTAAATTGTATTTGTTTATTAAATTTACATGCTGCTGATTTCACTATCGAGAGTGATTCTTAATAAATAAAATATTTTGCCGGGTTACCAGTGGCAGCTAAAAAAATTTGAACTGAGGAAAATAGCTAGCCGCCTTGAGGTGAAGTATTCTATTATATAATCAGCTATTCAATTAATATAGAAAAATACCAAATACCTGAGTAGTAAGAACTTGGAATAGTTTTTAATTTTCAATATTAATTTTGCAAATATTATTTTTACATATTTATAGGTAAAAGGAAGTAAAGGACTAGTAACTCGAGCTGACATTCTTCAAACTGGACTTCATGAGCTATTAAATACCCTTTTTTCAAATCCCCTGGACAGCAATTTAATTTGTGCAGTAAAACTATTGAAGGTAAGACATTTTTATTCTGAGATTTTTTAGAAACACAATTGTGTTAATTATTAATAGAGCCTCTTTGGGTGTTTATTAATATTAGTATAAATACTGTAGTGTGATTAAGTGTTTCTTTAACCGGTGGAAATATATTCAGCTCTCCTGGCAAAATGGGGGGCTGAACATTACATTTAGTCCATGGATAACCTGTCCTATTACAGGATATCCTAGCGTTCAAAATGCTGTTGATAATCCAGCTACATCTCTACCCATGGCTGTCCAAGCGAAGCTGCCAAAATTCTGTTCCCGTATCTGGATGTGGAAGAATAGGCTTCAGCCAACCCTTCCAAATATTAATGGCTTTAGGCATAATGACCAGAAGGAGTAACCTTGGAACAGGAGAATCACAACCAAGACAACACTCAGAAGACAAAAGAAACCCGAACCCAAGACAGAGATGTAATTGGACAAAGTGTTTGAGACAGGATTTTCCCTAGTTCTCACAAAAATAAAAGTTTTTCATAGTTCTCATAAAGTATTCAGACTTGGAAGATTCTGTACCTTATAATAAAAGTAGTATTAGCATTCATAACTTTACTTTCCTAGGTTAATCTACCTTGAAGGGCTGATGGTAGGTCTTGAGACCCCCCTTGTCTAAGAATTTGAGAGTTTACATTTTTGACTTTTGAACAAGGCTCAAGATTTCAGTGTGCATCTGCTCAGGTCACAACTCCTGCCAGAAGAGTGGCGACAGCTACAGCCAGGGAGGCTATTCAACAACTTTGTCTTCTGTGCCAGTTGCTGGACTAGGGGGCCTTGCTCATACCTTGACTCCCATTAGGGTTACTACAATGCACTGTACATGGGGCTTCCCTTGATGAAGATCTGGAGGGTTTCTCTTGGTCCAGAATGTGGTGGCTCAAGTAGTTATAGGCTCTGAATACTCCTCTACTCCACAAGCTGCAATAGCTTCTAAAAGGCTTCAAGATTCTGTACATCATCTATAAAGCCCTCCATGATATAGGACATGGTTATAGGCAGGGTTGCCTTCCCTAGGGTTGTCCCAGATGCTCCAGTAAGGCCCATTCTCACTCCCGACACCTTTTAGGACTTTAGCGATGTGCTTTCTGAGTTGGGCCCCTTACTGTTGAAACAAATTGCCCTGATACCTGGCGGACAACTGGCGGCCCTTCACATTTTTGGAATGTCTGTCAAGACCTGACTCTTTTCCCCGGCATTTGAGTCCAGATGAGTGGAGCATCAATTAGTAGAGTTGCAGTGCAGTTTAACCTGGTTGCATTTTATTGCTTCAGTTTTTTTTAAAATGTATTGAGCTGCTTGTTTTTTATTTGGGGGGGGGGTGTTATTTGTTGTTAACTTTTTGTTTGAATTGGGCAGCCATATGCATTTTATAAATATATAAATAAAAGTAGCTTTGCAAGAAGCATCAACTGTAATCGAAAAAAGGTTAGAAAGCGTAGTTCTTATCCAATTCTGAATGCAACTCGCTTTTTCAAATTATTTTAATCTGACGTGTTCTCAGTCACTGCTTTTATTTGTTTCCCAGTTGACAGGATCTGTCCTTGAAGATGCATGGAAAGAAAAAGGAAGTACTTATATGGATAATATAATACAGAAAATTGAAAATGTTGTCTTAGATGCAAATTGCAGCAGGTAGTAAGAAAATTCAATCGTTTCCCAGTTATCTTGTAATGTAAAACCATTTTGTGTCATTTCTGATGTAATAAAAAGTACAGTTCAGTTTGTAGCTGTCTTGCTCATTTCCTGCAAAAATTATCATTGTAGGAAAAATGGACTGTGAAGTGTGTGTTAAAATATATGTCATTTTTAAATAACACATCTTTCAATAAATGTACGGAGTAAAAAATGTTTAGAGGATCCTAGGAAATAGGTATATTTTGCTGTCTTTAAAATCTCCTTGCAGTTACTTTGAATAGTGACATAATATTATATGTAATTTTTAAGACTAATAGAAGACTGCAGTGAGCTCACATGGCATTGTAGGATATTTTAATTTTTGTAGTTCTGTAATTTTGCAGCACCTATCTTTGCATCAGAAGGGTGCCACAAAATGACAAAGTTAGGTAACCTCTGGATCAATAAATAAAGCAAATAATAACCTGTGACTTTCATATATTCCCTAAATAATTCTACATTCTAATTCCATGTTTATTCTTTATTCTTTCATTTCTATGCTTAAGCAGAGTAAGAATCAGGTAGACCAAAATGAACTGTCCTGTGCTTCCTAGCAAAGCCTTATGTGTTATTCTCTACAGGATATGATTTTTACTAGCCCTGCATTATACCCTTAAAGAAACTTCATTTGTCTTTAGTCTTGCAGTGATCAGGGTGTCCATGATATCCCCTTCTTTCTTACTTGTCGTGGACATCAGCACATGTCTGCACAATCTATTGCTTGCCTAGACCGTGCCTAGATCATTAGGCTACTTCTGGTGTATGAATTATCGCCTGTAATAGATATTAGGGAAAGACCAGAACTGCTTTTCTCATTACTGATAGAGTTAAGAAAATGCTTACACAAACATTTCAGAGAAGACGGTACACTTAAAGAGTGATAAGGAAAGAGGCTGGATGGAGTCCTTGAACGCAGCAGAAAGGACAAAATCAACAGAAGTGCTAAATTTAAATAACTCTTGTTTAACCAACCTAAACAGTGTAGATTCTTCAAAGCCATGTGTCATTTAATACCTATATTTAATGTATGAGAATACTGATAACAAAAGTTGTTCTTTGACAATGCATTAGCATTAAATTTTATTTACATTTTGAGAAGCTATAATAAATTGGGTGTATTCTAACGGTAAACACTAATTTTTATTTTCTACTTTTCTGTTACAGAGATGTAAAGCAAATGCTATTAAAATTAGTAGAACTGCGGTCAAGTAATTGGGGAAGGGTACATATTGCTTCAACATACAGGGAAGCAACTCCAGAAAACGATCCTAACTACTTCATGGTAAAGTACACTGGTATTCTTCTTCCGTAGATTATCCCTGAGATAGCTTTACTGAAATAAATATAAAAATGTTAAAGCACACAAAATTAAAAAATAGAAACAAAAATAAACAAAGTATATTTTAATTCTAGAATGAACCAACATTTTACACATCAGAGGGTGTGCCTTTCACTGCAGCAGATCCAGGTATGTTCTATTTGCTCTGCAAATAATAGCTAAAGTAGAAGTTAATTAAATCTAAATGTTATAGCTCTCAAAGAAGGCAGACAAAAATAGATAGAGCTTTATTAAAAGTTCCAGAAAATGCTTTCTATCTATTCAGATGGAATCCTAAGTGTCATGCTAGTTTCATTGTCTGCAGTCACAGCAGCAGCATATTGAATCCATTGCTGTTTCTGTCATTTGTAGACAAATTATTTACAAAGATAAATAAACCTAGAGATACAAAGTTTTGTGACAGATAGTTATGGAGAAAATCCATCTAGAGGTAATCCTCATTTAGGAACCACAATTGGAACTAGCAACTTGGTTGTTAAACAAAGCTATTACAACCATTCTTACAATCTTACTTCAGTTTTCCTTTATTTTACAAACCTGTAAAGGTCTAAAATGTGAAGATTGGCAATAGCACTTAGACTTACGTTCTGCTCCATAGTGCTTTACAGCCCTCTCTGAGCGGTTTACAGAGTCCCCCCAAACAATCTGAGTCCTCATTTTACTGACCTCGGAAGGATGAAAGGTTGAGTCAATCTTGAACCAGTGGGAATTAAACTGCTGACTGCAGCCAGCAGTCAGCAGAGGTAGCTTGCAATGCTGCATTCTAACCACTGCACCACCAAAAGGTCGCTAAGCAAGAACTATTTGTATGGAATTGCTAAGAGTACTTGATGACAGTTAATCCATCAATGATTGCTATCAGTCATGCTTTATTCCATACCTGCATCCTACATCCACAGTCTTGGAGCCCTTTTTTTCTTCGTGTGACTTTTTATAATTGTACTGTTTAGCACTTAGTTGCTTTTGACTAATTGTTTAAAGCACAGAAGGTGTCTTTCCACTTTATTGTGCATTGCAGACGTTTACTTTTGTTGGCAGTAAGAAAACCTTGCTACAGTACAGTATATTGTGAGTTCTTTAGTGAGACCTATGCTGCTTGAGTGCAAACATTATTTGAAGAAAAGCAGGGGAAGAGAAAGCTCAGGATATGCATGATGAAGTACAATAAAATGATACGTTTAAGCAAAATCAATGTGTTATTAAGAGCTTACCCAAATTATCAAATACATATCTGTAATAATAATAAGCTTGGATAGGGTACTTCATAAAATGTTGATATTATAGATTACCAAGAGAAATATCAAGAACTTCTTGAAAGGCAAGATTTGTTTCAAGGATATGAAGAAAATGGAACAGGAGCTGGAGACCAGTAAGTTCTTATTTTAGTCTAACTAGTGATGCAGACAGAATCGTTTTAGCATGATCGCTAACATTCCTAATTGGTCACTACTTTTCAGGAATATTTTTGTCAAAATTTATCATTTTGAAAATACTTTAGAATTCGAACTGCTTCTTTCAGTTTTATTTGCTGATATTCTACTAAATGGTAACATTAATAAATACCTTAAGAGATCTACAGAGCTCTTTTTACTAATTGTTGCTTTTTAAAAGAATATTTTCATAATATTTTAGGCCCTACAGCAAAAAAGCTACTTTAAGATTATTATTTCTGTCTTTCTGTTCAGTTCCTTATCTGATCTGTTTTTTGGATCCTATAAATTCCTCTGTTTGTATTTGAATGTGCAGCGGAGACCTTAGCAGCTGGAATGTAGATGGTTTCCTGTTGGAAAGAATACTTGTTTTGTACTTAGGAATTTATATTGACCATTCTTGCTCCTAAGTGATGCTAACATTTATAAATGTGAACTTCTTTGCACCTAAGAAATTTAAACTTGGTGTGCAATGAGAGCTTGCCAGTGTTCAACTTATACAAATATATATCCATAACATTATTGGTATTTTTTATTAATATTTTTAAAAGTTGAATTTTGAAAAATGTGTATTTAACCTGAATTGTATTGCAGATACTATGATGATGATGATGACGATGACGAAAAAGATGATGAGATGGATCCAGAAATTGAAGAAGCGTTTGAAAAATTTTGCTTAGAATCTGAACGCAAGAGGAAACAATAAGTTTTACATAAAGTTTGTTTTTTGAAAAAAATAAAACAGCATAGAATGGACAATAAGGAAACAAATGGAAAATCCTGCAATCCATATCAAAGGAAATTAAGTTTTTCCAAGTATGCAATTTCCCTCTTGTTAAACAGAATCTGCCAAAAAGAAGCAATTGTAAAGTGAAATTCTTTATCTTGAATAATATGTAAATATTATAGTTTATTTTATGTACAGTTAAATAAGCAGTGTTTTTGCTGTAACAAATTTATTTGGCGCGTCGCATTAATCTAAAAGTTCAAGTTAGATTAAATTTGTATTAAAAATTCACACTTTTCTGAAGTAAAATCCTTTCAATAGTAATGCATTTTGACTTGCTTTTGGAATGGATTTGTACATTCTTTCCTTTGGATAGCTTGTAGCATTCACCCCACATTTTTAGGCTCATGAAGTTGCCAAATTATTTACTTAATATTTTACAAATCATTAAAATTGTAACCAGCCAAGGACAATTTGGAGCTGGGCACAAAAATTGAATTTTCAAACAGTTACATTGTCAATTAATGTTTCAGTTCATCAAATCTGTCTTCAACATTACTGTGTTTTAGATGTCATATTGGTCATCTTCTGAAGTATGGTTTTAGATGATCAGAAATGTGTCATGTTTATTCCTTTACCCACTTTCATATTAATACTTCCTGCTTTAGCCATTGTTTATTGTCAGACAAAACAATGATTAATGCTAATCAGGATTACTTTAAAATGTTGGTTTAAAAATCTGGTTCATCAGGTAAAGGAGAAGATTGCAAAGTCTCCCAAAATGGTTTAGGATGCTTTCTAAATCCTGATCCACAGATAGCAGCCTATAAATTCTGACCTTTGCTCATGTTTGCAGAGAATAATTAATTTTTTACACCAGCAACATTGGGCCCTAAGTTGAGGACTTGCTGTTTTAGAGGTTTCAAAATAGAATATGTCTGAATTCAGCCATTTCTGTTGATTTTCACTTTGAAATTTTAAAGAAGCTATTTTTTTAGTTCGAAGTTCATAATTTGTGTCTTTGAAATGCATACTAAAAAGAAAGCACTCGTGTCTCTTTTTAGTTTCCATCACATTTAACAAGTAAATTGTTTACAAAGAAATTTGTCTACTGATTATGTCTTCCCTTTAAATCATCTGGGTTTTTTTCTCTCTAAAATTGTGTCCAGAATACTTTTAACATTTTATTCACTATTTTATATTACCTAGAATCTTATTTCCTAACACCAAATGTGTTGAACTTCCTGAGCAGTAGGTTAAATAACTTATATAAAGACATAAGTTGTAAATATGTATGTAAATAGTGCTGTTTAATATTGCACTGTTATAACTTGGTACAATTTGTGTCTGTTAAATGAGTTAGTATAAAATTACATCTTCTGGTTGTTTAGCATTTAGTTAACACCATATTTTGCAAAAAATAAAAATAAACTGTTGTTGTTGGATACGTTTTATTTACTTTTTTAGTGCTTTCATTTTTATTAAGAAAGAATATTAAATCTTCCTTGTTTTCTTCTGTCCTGATGAGTAATATCTTTAGAGTTGCTGGTGAAGTCTCATTTAAGGCCTGATGACTACATGTATATATCCATATTTTCTTGACATGTNGGATCCAAATGGCTCTTTGAGTGTAAGGTTGCCGATGCCTGGTCTAAGCTATCAGAACTTTAAAACTCAATCTCTTCTGCAGGTTATTTTCACAGATGTCACTGAAGCCAAATGGCCTGGCCTTCATACGGCTAAGGAGGAAATGTGTCTGCTAAATGGCAATGTGAAAGTCACATCTTTAGATGGACATGCTTCTCTTTCTTTACCAGAGCTTCAGCAAGAATTTACGGTGGAGTTTTTATGCAAAGTAAGCGAGGGGCTAAGAATCCCGTCATCGTTTTCAAAGAGGAGCTCTTGTAAGTCAACCCAAGCAAGTTATGAAAGTTCCAGCCAAAGCTCTGACTTAAAAACGCATTCAAGGCTGCTAGGAACAAAAATGAAGGACAATGTAGTTATAGAAAATTGTGCACAAGAGAACAGTTCAAGGGCTGTGCAAAAAGAAGATAAGATATCTCAGTCTTCCCAGAAGAGTTTATTTGAATACTGTAGGGTTATACAGCATATATCAGTGTCATCCTGTCCTGAAGAATGGAAGTACCCTTTGTCATTAGCATTAAGAATCCATCAGTCACATAGTGGAAATGAAGCTGGCTCTAATAAAGGAAAGAATGAAAAAGATTGCCCAAGCCTGGATCTTGCTAATGAATGCAGAATGGCTGACACAGTTACTTGTCTACCTTCAGCGTTACCTCTCAGTTGTCATGCTCCATTTCTACACAGGTAAACTAGTTTTATACATTAAAACGTCTATATCATTTATTGCCATCTTTTTAAAAACTTCCTATTAAATAGCTAAAAATCTGTTTAAAATCCTACCAACATCCATACCAATGTAAACAATGGAAGTCATTGTCTCCATCTGGAAAGGACCAAATGAGAGAAGTTGCTTTAAGGATTCTAATCAAACTTTGATTTTTGAGATCTTAATATTAAATATTCCCTTTAAGGCCAAAACTGTTATTGTAAAACAAATAATTTGCAGCTGTTTATTACATTACATTCAAGCTTTGGATGGTAAAATCTAAATAGCATAGAGTAGAATATTCTTTATTGGCCAAGTGTTTATTCGACACACAAGGAATTTGTCTCTGGTGCATAAGCTCTCAGTATACATAAAAACAATCATAAATCATAAGACGTCCATAAATCATAAGATGCAATCAACTAAGTGATAGTCATAAGATATCAATAGGACTCTGTAATAGGAAAGGTGAAAAGGATAATAGTAATACAGTCCTGCCACATGATTAGATATCCTTAGGCATAGACAGTGCTGTGGAATTATGTGTTTAGCAGAGTGATGGCATAGGGAGAAAACTATCTTTATGTCTAGTTGTTTTGGCATGCAATGTCCTGTAGCAGCATCCTGAGGGGAGCAATTGAAACAGTTTATCTCCAGGATGTGAGGGGTCTGTAGATATTTTCTAACCCCCCCCTTATGGCTCGCACAGTATACAGATCCTCAATGGAAAGCAGGCTGGTTTATTATTATATTTATTAACATCAAAAATTCAAATCATAATTAATTCTCTTCTATTTACATTTTTTCTTATCTTTAAAAGTCTGTCATCTCTAAACATTAGAGCTTTCATAATCTCTTGTCAACACTGTA